AAAAGAGATGCAAACTTGGAAATGAAGTGCTCTGGAATTTCTGTCTGACTTATGCATTTTATTTATTTATTTCATTTTTGCATTGAAAACATTACATTTCTGTTTCCTTATAGAGTAGTGTATCAAGAGCCTGTGTATGGCAATAAATTGCTGCAGGTATGAAATCCTGGCTGGTGGAAAAACTCATCACTATTGATTGTGGGTTTGCTGTGAAATCCTACTAACAAGATGATTCTGGGGAGGGAAGGGAGACATTCTCTAACACAGAAGGAGGGAAGACTGAACTGAATTTTCCAGTTTTGATATCACTTCTTCTAAAAGAGAGACACTCCTCTTGAAACCTTTTTTTCCCCTCTTTGCTAGATTATGTGTGTTTCAGAATTGAGACTGGGCTTGGCTGTTTCTTTCTTGGCTTAAAGTGTATCTGGCTTCAGTGAATATAAACTCAGTGAAAAAAATCCAAGGGTTTCATTGAAACAATTGTCTGAAAAAAATTTTTTTAGTAATTTCCTGGAGTCAACTGGGATGGTTAAACCAAAAACCTTCTATAATTCAGCATCAAGAATCAGTATACACTGTAGCTTCTTATAAATTTATTTCACATCTTCTGCCATAACTCTCAAACCTATTTCTCACTGACGAAGCCACCCCAAATGAACAAACTTGTAGGAGGGAAAAAAAACCAACACATCCATTGGAGTGTAGCTGGCCAAGTCTCCAAATTTGGTCTATAACCAACACAAAAACTGTCAAATAAAATGTAAGGAGAATGTAAAATTAAAGTGGTCTGTGGGAATTTTATTATACAGGTCTCCCTTTAACCTGCTATTGTCACTTTTGTTCAGTATTAAGTCAATTAAGAAAGTACATTTTTTTTAATGGTGAGGTTAATCAAGTTTTAATAAGAAATCTAATATGAAACAAATGGGTATTTGGACTAAGGAGCAAACCAAATAATTAAAATTTCTGAGATAAGCTTTTATTTTCACCTTTTAAGAAAAACTGGACTTCAAAATCAGCTGAATGTGTCATGAAGATAAGTTAAAGAGTAATGATTTATATGAAGTATTTTATATTTTGCAAATAATGCTCTTGTAAATGTCATTAGAGTGAATAAATTTTATGTATATCATTAATCCACCTGCTTTAGACAAAGTGAGATCCTTGAATATTCTCGGAAAGGAGGAAGCCCTGTGTCCCCATCGATATACAAACATTTCACCTCACTTCCTCAGCAGTTTGCCATTTGGATATTTGAACATTCTTTTTCCAAAAGTATGCTCTCAAGTTAAAAATGTGATTTCCATCATCAAACCACTTGGTGATGCAGTGGAGGTCCACAGAGCTCATTAATTCTGCTTTACAAAGTTCCACAAATGAGTAACCAGTTTCATTTCATTTAACTCAACATCTCCCAAACCTATGTGGTCATGAAACCTGCCTTTCCCTTGATGAAGATCCCACCAAGCACAGTTTTGAAAATTGGAGCATCATTAAAGTACTTAATTGATAACTTCCCCCCATGGACCTCCAGAGGTCTTGCTAACAAAGGAAGTATTCCCAAGCCTGTGACTCAGTATCTTTGATGGTTGCCTCTGGTGGTGGGGGCAGGGGTGGGAAGGGGAATCCATAATGACCATTTAAAATACATATTTTCTATAAGATCACATGTCTATTTTGCTGCCCAGCATGTGAAAATGTTTTCTGAGTAGGGAGCATAGAACTATTGTGAGCTTGTCATCCCTTTTCTTTTTTTTCACCTTTGCTTTGGTGATGGGAAAAATAACTGTCAAGGACACATCTTTTTTTTTTGTCCTAAGATCTGGGAGGATCAGTTTTAAGGTGACTGTGCTTTGATGACCACAAATGAAAGTGAGCACTTCTTTTTCAAACATTACCCCAGAACCTCGCTGAAGCTTTGGCTATACTCGGCAAGCTGCAAAATATGGTCAGCAATAAAATTGATTAGAATCACCTGTTAAAAAGGCAAATTAAAGCAGTTTTTAAAATCATTTTACAGTGTGTGCACACATGCACCGAGTCAGTATACAACTCTGATTTTCCCTTAAATGGATTCCACGCCGAAGAAGAATTGCAAAGGAAGATGATGCAGGATATAGATACAGAGACATCAAGCCATCTACCCCTTTTTCTTTGTCCAGTTACTGCAAATTCCAGGGATCACTAAGACCTGGGCTGTCCAATACTGTAGCCACCAGCCCCATGTGGTTGTTTACATTTTAGTTCAAATGAGTTCAACATTAAATAAATTAAAAATGCCATTTGTTGTAGCCCCCAGATTTCAAGATTTCCGTAGACATTTAGGACAAATGGCTACCATATTGGACTGTACAAGTATAGAACATTTCTGTTCATCATCAAGTCTACTGGACACCTAGGAGATCACCGACCAAGGTCAGAATCTCTTCACTGGTTCCACAGACTTTACCAAACTATGACCTAGACTCATGAATCAGGAATACTTGTAAACATACTCTTAAATAGCAAAGATAAGCATCAGGACATTGACCTCCTGTGCCTGTCTTACATGGAAATCCACACTTGTTTTCTCTAAATGGTTAAAACATGTGCAAATAGAGAATGGGTCCTTCCCAAAGCTTTAGACACGCCCCTCAGTTGTTCAGCAGTGTCCTAGGTGTACACTCCTCCATTTTATATCAATGCAATAATTGTCAGCCTAGTAGTCAGTGAAGGCTTGCTGCTGACTTGTTCAATAAAGAATCCACCTGCAATGCAGGTAGACCCAGGTTGTTGATCCCTGGGTTGGGAAGATCCCCTGGAGAAAGAAATGGCAGCCCACTCCAGTATTCTTGCCTGTAAGGTCCCATGGACAGAGAAGCCTGGCGAACTACAGTCCATGGGGTCATGAAGCGTCGGACATGACTTAGTGACTGAACCATAGCAGTCAGAGACGTTCATTTTAGGTATATTCTGTTTGCACTGCCATAGTTTTTCTCACTTATCAAAATTGCTACCTACTTCCATTGACAGAAACCATTGCAGAAGTTGAGGGAGTCCTCCAGAATTCAAACAAAGCACATCATGATTGATTGACGTGGCCCTTGATGCAATGCACTTTGCAGTAACTTTTGGTTTTCATTCTGAGAGTGACAGAGAACACACATGCACACGCACACGTTCTCCATTCAGAGTTTTCAGCTGGTTGCAGCTAATGCCTCCTAGCCATCAGCAAGCCAATGCCAGCCCCTCCCTACCTCATTAAGCTCAGTACGCATGCCTGCACACTTGTCTTTGTGGATGCCTGATGAAAGGCAAGGAGATGGGCAAGCTGATGAAAAGACTGGCTCCAGAAATCGGCTGACCCAATTTCCCCTCAGCCCATCATTCTGTACCTGGAGCTTGGTGCTCCGTGTGACAACTGCTTTGGTTTCCCAACTCCTCAGCACATTTAATGAGTTTCTCCATTCCTAATTAGAGAACATGGTGTTTGGAACACCAGGTGGTTTCTGGCTAAGACCTCTTTTTTTTTTTTAACTTTCACATTGTTTTTCAAGGGAGACTTTTTAAAAAATAAAAATACTGGCTCCAAATTATGGGTGATTATCTGTCAGAATGTCTTGGAGGTGTCTTCTCCAGAGTGATCCAAAGAAGGAGCTTGATTAAGGAGAAACTAGCTTTTTGGAATTGCCACGTAAGTGATAGAAAACTTGCTTTGAAAGTTGGTTATGATTGGCAAAGAGTAGAAATAAATTTCAGAGACCACTGTACCTATCACTGTTCTGATAGATGCTTCTTGCAGTTTTCTCGTTCATCTGTCTCCTGTGCCACACGTGGAGCCAAGTATAATGAACTGCTTTACTCAAGATCCTACCATTAAATCCCCCCCAACATCCAGTTATTTTGCTATTAGAAGCCCTCTGACATGGTCATCTGTCCTGAATCCTGAAGGGTGTCTGTCCCTTCACAGCAAGGGTGAAAACCCTTTTCCCAGAGGATCGTGGGACTATGTATTCTCTTTAGAACCTGAATGGCCCCCGTGTTATCGGTGGAGACTGAATCCTGTTAATTGTCCTAAGATCATTCAGCAGTGGTTGATGTATCACTGTGGTCTGCTGAGCAAGAAGCTCTGTTATTTTCACAGTTTGATAATGAATGCTGCACTGAACACAATTCCTTTCGAATATGCCCATTTGCTTGTACTCTGCTTAATTGAACAATTGCAATTACTGGTACATACAACTAAATGTTAATTATTTTCCTCCAATTTTTTTCTCTCTCCTAATGATTTCATTTACAAATTGGAAGACTTTATCATATTTTCCACAACAAACAAATTCCCCGTCTGAACCAGTGTGATATCTTAAGCTGAAGATAGAATTTTTAAGCAGTGTTCAAGATTCCTTTTTTTAAATCATTATGTGACATTTAAAAAGCTAGAGACAGTCTTCTTTCGTTGCTTTAGTGGTCGAACAACTGCATATGCAGGAGATTTCTAACACAGTTTCAATCAAAGGATTATCTTATTTTTGTAAGTAAACATCAAAGACATTAACATTAATAAATATCAAAGATAGCAGGGTGTTAGCATGACCTGTATTGGATTTTTAAGGAAGTTCTCAAAGATGGTTTGAATAACTTGATAGCTGATAAATCAAGGTAAAGCATACTCACTTTTGAAAATCTGGAAAGTTCAGCCAAGTAGAAAAAGCATTTAAATAATCGCCCATAATCCTCTGCACCCCAAAATGATTACCATTAATTAACATGTAGGTACATCTCTTTCAGAGGGTCTCTGGGGTCCCCCTTTGGGATTTGCTTACAACTGCTAATCTTTAACATTCAGCTGGGGCTGGTAGTCCTCCCCACATCCTTCTCGCGTGTTTTGGTACTAAGCTTTCATTAACCTCCACTTGAGTTCGCTAGATGTGGGTCACTGCTGTTCTGCTGGGGTCTCACCATCAGGCGCCCTGAGTCGGCCTCCTCTGAGTTCCTAAGCCCGCTTTCTCCTTGTGTTTTAGGGTGGTTATGCTGCTTACCGCTACGCCCAGCCCACACCTGCCACTGCTGCTGCCTACAGTGACAGGTAAGGGCTTTCCTTCTCACGCTTGACTATTACCTGGAAATGAACTTAGCTGGTGGGAGGTGAGCTTCTCGTCTGGTCTCACTGCAAATGCATGACCGCTGGGGAAGGCAGTGCCCTGAAAGTTAGGTCTCACGGTGAAGGTCAGCACGGGGCCGCCGGGACGCACAGTGACGCCTAGCTCATTCTGATCGCTCGGCCTCTCTGCTGAGACACAAAGATGGTGGGTCCCTGCATAGTTGTCTTTCCGTCTCAGTTCCTCTGACAGCACACCCTGCATGCACAAAATATACCCTTTGTATAGCCTTCTCCTGGGCTTCTCTGTAAAATCCTGGACTCATGTAACTCATAGGACGAAAGCCAAGAGAGGATCCCACAGGTTTACCTTGATTTTCAACACCTCAGTTCCCTTTTTTACACCTTTGTACATTCAGGAAAGTACTCCCCTTTATTGCCTTTTAAGATCCCACCTAAAGGAATATGGGCAGTGTGTCTGGCATTCATAAGGAGAGTCTTTTTGGCAATGCCCAGACCCCGTGCCTATGAACATAAGCCAACATTTATTTGTAATGCATACCACATGTGAAGACTGGCAGCGGAAGGGACTGAAGTAGGTTTAAGAAATGCAGAAGTCAGAACTGGATGGCGGGGGGTGAGGGCTGGGGGTTGGAGGAGCTCTATTACCCATTACCCAGGCTTAACAGATGACTCGGTTTCTGAAATGGCAAGCCACAGCTATTTTCGTATAAGTGCTTTGGAGGAAAAAATAAGAAAGTGTGCGTTTCCATATTGAATGCAAATCGTTGGCTCTGTTTTCAGAGGACATAAATGTGAATGTTCAGATGCTCTGCATGCACAAATGTCATGGAGGGTGCTTATTTTGGGTAATACTCCTTTAATTTAAAACTATGTTTCATGAATAAACCAGTAATGGTAACCGTTTGCATGTGTGGCTGAGGCATGCTGGGTTCGACAGGTAAGCAGGCGGTGTCTTGGACTCGTGAATGGGGAGTGTTGGCAGACTCTGGGTCTCCTCTCGGATTTCTTGTGACTCAGTTCATCTCTTGCTGTGGTATGCTTTCTCTGCAGTTCCATTCCATTTCTCACAAGATGTATCCTTAGTTCTTTGTAACTACAGACTTCTTCAGATGTATACAAAAGCAAAAGAAATTCGGGAACCCTCAATGTCACACTTTGAAAACCCCATACATAAAAACTCGTGATCAAATAGCTCTTTGGCAAGACAGAGTTGAGATCTGTTATCTGATTGTATGCAGGTATTATTCCTATAAACTCCTATTATGTTTATAAACAGCCATCGAGAGCTCTCAAGTCTGGAGGGAGCTTCCAGAAAAACCCAAACAATTGTCAGCTCACAGTTCTAAATACTTAAATTATCCAGTTACCCAATCATCAGTTGCTAGGATGCAAAATATGTTTTATGAAAGTTGCTATCTTCAATACACTTTGACACTGAATTAGGGAAATTGAGAGGGTCAAAAAAGCTAATAAAAATGATGACAGTCTTGAAATCCTCAAGATCATTCTACAAATGAAAAGGCTTAATTCTATTAAATTCTGCACACTGCAGATTCACAGAGTGTCAATTGTAATGTGGTTCATCTACAACCCTTAATTATTTTTATGAAAATATCTCTCGATGCTAAATTCTTCAACACCCACTTTGTATATAATTATAATCATAGTAACTTTAGCCTGCTGCATAATTATAAGAATCTTAAACAGATTTATGTCTTTGGGTTTTTTTAAATCTTGCTTCTCAGTATAAGTGCATCTATCCCCAAGCTGAAAAAAAGGTTAATTACAAAGATATAATTTAAATTGCTTTCTTTAATAAGACCAACATAGACATTTGGAAAAAAAAAAAACCAAACAATGTTTAATACTATTCTTAGATAGAATTACTTGAGGATCTGGCCATCTCCATTTGCATCTGCCTTAAAAAATAAGTTAAAATTTTGCTGCACTTGGGGGTGCCGTATATGCAAATGTATGTATGAAGTATGTTATTTTAATATTATTAAGATTTCTCACTGGCAACCTCTCTTATTGAAAAATTGCCTCATTCTTGGTTTGGTAAATCTTGACTAACTCTGCAATTCCCATTTTGATGTAATAGTTTCAGTTGAAGAAACCAACTAAACGTCCTCTTGTCCATATAATTGGCCTCTTGTTCATTATAGAAATTTGCACATTAGGTCTTTTTGGTTGCTGTGGAAATTGATTACTAGTCCTGTTTCACTTGCCACTTATGGAAATATTGCATCGAAAGAAATGCAGACATAAATAAATTACCAGAAAACAATCTTAAAAATTATGTTTCTGGTTTGATTTGTAAAGTGTATTTATGAAACAGTGGTACTTCCTTTTATTGTTAGTAAGCAGGTAAAGAGGAAGAAGACACTTTAAGAGAAGACACATGTTTAGGGGAAAATGTGAAATTATCAGAAGTGGTTTCCAGTCAATTAGAGATGGCAAGAATCTAGAATTATCTCAGGAAAGTTGTGTAATCACTTATTTTACTCCATCACAGAATAATATCAGTAGGGAGGGACTCTTAGTACCTACTTTCTAGAAGACAGGCAGGATGACAAAGAGAAAAGTTTCTTAACCCAAAGAAACTCCTTCAAAATAGGAAATAAAATCAGCAGGAACAGAGAATGTTTGGGTCACACTCACTGGCTGTCAACCTGATCCAAAGAGAAACTGCAATAAATTTTCTCTCTAATCATGAGATTCACTTCTCAGACGTCTTGAAAGGGAAAGAAGTGTGATGTCCCCAGTCAGTAGAATTTTACCTTTTATCAGCACAAATTAAGCCCTCATCGAATTAAAGATTCAGGGGACTTTTGGAAAATCTTGGACTCCAATAACCTCAGAAATGGCCAGAAGTTCGTTGACGGCCACCTCGTTAACTCCCTGCCCATCATCTTCTCGGTTAAATGATCACACTATGATTATCTCGGAGTACCCTGAGAGTTTCTTGAATGTGGACCTCCGGAAGGAAGACCATCTGGTGTGGGCAGTGATTTCCCCCCAAAGAAAAAGACCTGACTGGACTAGGTAATTTTGCAGACTCAATGACGAATCGAATGGCAATAGGCATATGTCTTTCTTGGGCATTTAGGAAAGATTTGGTAAGCCTTTGACTTCACCTCAAATCTTCTAATCTCACTTTGATTTGTGGAAAGCCAACTATCTGGACTCTCAGGGGAGATGGTTTTCTGAGCTTGAACCAATCGAAGCATGGCAGTGGGGCCGATGATCATCTGGTCATTGCATGCCACTTGGTGTTTGCTGATGCGTTTGTGGTATGTTCTGGATTGGACAGGTCCATCACCACATTAGCTCGATGAATGGCTTGCTTGAATGAAGCCTGGGGGCAGGCTTCTCTTGATTGACTGGCTCTCGGTTTCTTTGTGTCTTCTGACTTGGTCCTTGTTGCATCTTTGAGCAGCCAAACTGGGAGGCGGGGAGGGAGAGGGGAAGATTTCCTTTTCGATGAATCACGCTACAGGTATTTGGGTAAATGTGTCTGATGTGTACACAGCTTTGATGACAATGTTACCATGCCAAAAAGGCAGACATCCGTCATGCTTGCCCTGCTTGCAGAACATCCTAACATCCCCTAACACACAGTGCATGGAAACAGCCCTCCACATTAGGGCAGAAGGGAACTCAATTCAGACCAGCTAGAGGAGAAACTAATAGAGGCATTCGCTCTGAGATTTCATGACGATCCAGGTGCCCTGCTAGTTACCCTGGGCCACTGTTTTCATGGACACTTGCATTTCTGTAAAGATCCTTAAAACTTAGCAGCTTTTGACCTACGGTAGTAGCCCCAGCCATACAGGTGCCTCTAGACTGAGCAAAAGAGACAGCAAGCAACAGGCTTCTGTTTGTTGTTTTATTTTCTACCCTTTTTTTGTTTTTTGAGACCTTTAAGTTTTTCGGCAACATTAGACTCTACCATATGAAACTGCTATTTTTGTGGGCCTCAAATGGTAGAATATTGGCAATTTCATATAGCTCAGCTTAATAGAGGGGCTTCCCGATGACTCAGTGGTAAAGAATCTGACTGTAATTCAGGAGGCGCAGGTTTGATCCCTGGGTCAGGAAGATCCCCTAGAGGAGGAAATGGCAACCTACTCCAGTATTCTTGCCTGGAAAAAATCCCATGGAGAGGAGTCTGGTGGGCTACAATCCATGGGGTCACAGAGTTGGACATGAGCGACTCAGATGGACTGAGCAACTGACTAATCACAGCTTAATAGAAGCCCAATTAAAATGCCATAATATCAATATCAATAATCTTGCTCTCTGCCTAGTCATACATATACATATATGTATGTTGTGTATATATATTGCTCACATATACATGTGAAAATATATGTATACACAACACATACACACACTTCTGCCTTAGGACCTCATGGAGGACTTATATGAGTGTCTAGATAAATAAATCTTAATACAAGGAGGTCAGGATATGCCAAGTTCTGCCAGTCACGAAGCCCATGCTAGAACATTTTTTAAATGTGATACTCATAACCTGTAAATAACAGATTCTATATCAGAGAGAAATAGATTAGTAGCCTTTCTTAAAACTCAATAGGAATAAGTAGTCATGTCTTTGGGGTCATGAAGCAGTTGATCTGTAGATCAACTATTTAAAATTATATGGTGGTAGAGATAGTTAGGGGCTTCCCTGATAGCTCTGTCAGTAAAGAATCTGCCTACAATGCAGGAGACCCTGGTTTGATATCTGGGTTGGGAAGATCTGCTGGAGAAGGGATAGGCTACCCACTCCAGTATTCATGAGCTTCCTTGGTGGCTCAGGTGGTAAAGAATCTGCCTACAATGCGGGGGATCTGGGTTCGATCCTTGGGTTGGGAAGATCTTCTGGAGGAGGGAACGGCTAGCCACTCCAGTATTCTGGCCTAGAGAATCCCCATGGACAGAGGAGCCTGGCAGGGTGCAGT